CCTATAATGATAAATTATGATGAAAAAAAAAACAAAAAAAAAAAACTCCTGCTGTATTTTCTATGTTCAAAATCATGCTCCAGAGGGAAAAAAAACACCAAAAACATTTTTGATATGTTGTTGCAACTGATTTTTTTAAGACAGAAAAAAAAAAGTTTTTTAAAACTGGGGGAAAAGGGTGAAAAAGAAAAGGTGGTTACGCCCTTTTCCCCCTGTTTTTAAATATTTAAGAATCTGTATCTCATTAACCGCTCCCCAGTATTTCGTCAAACAACTTTTTTTTTTGCCTTAGAAAACATATCGTTTTTTTCCCTCCGGAGTCCGACTTAAATTACTGTATGAGTGATATTTCCGTTCATCTAGAAGCCATCTTTTCCAGAATTTTCTCGCATCAGCCCCAAACATGGTGGGTCAGATGGAAATGATAGTTAACTTACATTATAAATCTATGTCTTTAAATCTAAAATGATAAAGCGATCACTATTTGGGAGTGTCAGTTTAACTAACCTTTGAGTCGAAGCCTAATTCTGCTGCCCACATTAATGGCGTCATCAACTGATCGTCACTCATCTCTACATCCGCCCCAGCATTGATCAACGCATCAACGGCATATAAATCCCCCTTACAGACAGCAACACAAAGCGGGGTTCGCCCATCCTCTTTTCTTTCGTTAACATCCACGTTGTCACTTATCATTTTCTGGAGTATTCTGTAATTATCTTCGCCGCCCACACATACGTCAAATATTGTACTATTCTGAATTGGAAAATTCAAGTTAACGTTTACTTAAACATAATTTTACATTCATAAAAATGTTCTTAATCTAATTCAATAGGCATACATAACACCAGCAGTGGTGGCGCCAGAATGATCCGATGTTCTAGACGTCCGGGGGATGGTGGTGGTGGTGGTGGCGGGGGAGGGGGGAGTGGTTGTTCCGATGTTCTTGCAAGGAAGACCGATTTCCCTGATGTTTGGGGGCAAAGTTTAACTGTTTACAGATTTTAAATGCTTTTCTAACGCATTTTAGAGTCTCGAATTCTGTAAGCTCTCCCCGACAGCTGTAAAAAAAAAAAAAAAAAAGGGGGGGGGGGCTGTAAAACTACTGGCGATTAAGGACATCTAATGTACTTTACATTTCGTAGTTTCTTAAGTGTCCTGTATAGATATACAGGTATAGGTAAGGTCGGTATTCCTGGATGAGGACCGTGTACTGATCTTTCTCTTTTAAACATAATTCTTACCTGTATCTGGTGACGCTGGATAGCGTCGTCTACGACAGCGTTATCGTTTTCTTCGGTTATATCAGCCATGGTTACCACAAGGTTTGGTTATTATGGCTATAAAACAAAAATGGATCACTAAGTCATCATACAGTATCAGGTCTATAATAGTAGACGGATACAAGGTCGATATCCAGGGAGGGAGTATACATCCCCAACCCACAAAAAAAAAAAAAAAAGGTTTACAAGTCAAAAATGTAGGCTTAGTTAATAATAATAAAATTGTTATTTCCCGTAGAAAAGACATTTTAACCTCGAAATCTATCGTTAGGACAATATTTGGACTTCAAAATTTCCATAATGAAAAATCGAAACTGTGATCAAACCATCTCTGTCCCCCTAACCCCAGTTGGTCCATCTTGCACACTCCGCACAGATGCAAATTACTGTAGAAATCGAAACTATTGAGATTCAACGTCTGTTTCAGTACAACAATAATAATAGAAAAAGAATTCGGTATTATGTATACATGGACTTTAGATAGAAACACTTTATTGGAGAAAACCAATATTTCGACCTATCCTGAGGTATTTATCAAGGTACATACTTGGTATTGT